AGCCTGTCCCCATCTCAGGATCTCTGCACTTGCTGGCCCAGCTATCTGGGACTCAGGACACTCTTCCCCCAGATAACCACATGGCCCACTCTCTCACCCACTTCGAGTCTTTGTTCAAATGCCACCTTCTCAACGTGGCCCTCCTGACATCTCCATTTAAAATTGCAACCAACTTCTCCCTTTCCCCACATTTTTTTTCTCCATAGCACCTATGACTATCTGATATACCATATGTTTTCCTTATGTTCTATATGCATTTTCCCACTAGAATATAAATTCCATGAGGGCAGGGACTTTCCTATGTTTTACTCTCTACTGTATCACCAGCATCCAGAACAGTATCTGGCACGTTATCGCCACTTAACAAATGTTTGCTGAATGAATAATGAGTTAGTGAACGGATCTACACTTATGTATTAATGTAAACAGAGGGGAAAAGCCTTTACTATGAGTTCAGGAAATAGTTTCCCTCTCCCTCTACTCTCTCCTCTCCATGAAAAGCCTGACAAGCAAAGTGTTCTGCCAGTTAAGAGGAAGTTATCATAGCTCCTCACTAAGCACACACACCTTACCTCCCAGCCGTCATGGGAAAAAGAACAGTAACTTCCAAGATCCACTTACCAATCCCTCTATGGATAAGTAACAGATGAACAGATACTAGTATCCGATTCCAAGTATCACCTGTATTACAGGATCCCAGACTCATGTAAGGACATAGGAACAGGGCAGTCCAGATGGGATTGTGGGAAAAAAAGAAAAAAAGAAATCAGTCTATTCCAGAGCATGACTGATCCTGGATACCGATTACAATTACGATAACACTTACAGTGTCTACAATACCAGTCACAATTACAGTGTCTACAAATTTTATGAACTATACACCTGATCCTAGGTCAGCTGGTTCATCTTATCACCCTAGCACCATAGGATAATCATAGACTCCTGCCACCCATTGTCAAATTAGTTTTGAGTAGTTCTACTACAATGTGGAGGAGGTGGTAAGAAAAGACTGAAGCAAAGACGGAAGCCACGTTCCCTAGTCTCATGGATCTCAGAACCCAAAGCATTCTCTGCAGATACCACAAAATCAGAGGAACTCCATAAAGAGAATGGTAGTTTTTCATCAACTGCGAGATGGATGTTATGCCTCACCATGCTGATAGATGACACATACAGCAAAATCTCAATGAGACAGAAAGTGAATAGCTGTTAACCATTTAATAAATCCTGACTATATGCAGCTGTGAAAAGGCAACTTAAAGGAGAGCCACAGTCATTGTTGATAGACCAAAAGATTTCTAAGGCATTGGGAAGACTCTCAGAAAGCACCCAGACTTTAAGTTGCCTCTTCTTGCCAAAAGCCAATGAAGTCCATAAAAACCCCTTCCATCATAGCAGCTTGGAGCATCTTAAGTAGTCACAACAGATGTGGCAAGCATACCTGCAAAGCTGCAGAAACAGTACACCTCCAAGAAATTTCTGCCTCTACATGAGTTTATCAACAGTAAGGAGAGAAATAACTCTAACTACAGAAATACAAATGAAACATACTAAACTTTAAGAGCAAAGATGTGAGTAACTGCAGACAGGGACTGGGAACCTCTGCAATCTGGGAATTAGTCCTGATACAATAAAAGAGCTAACGGAATCAGCAGATACCATAAAACTAGAATGACAAAGAGAAATAAGACTCAGATCAGAATCAGAAGAAAGTCACTTCTCTCAGCCACTTCCAGCACAGGTGAAGAGGGTTAGCGAGCCACAGTAACATTTGTTGAATGAAGAGCATTGATCAGAAGGAGAACACATTGTACTGTGGAAGACATACTTATCAGGTTAGGAGAAATAAGTAAAGAAGAGAGTTTGCAAGTCTCGAGGAGACCTTTGGGAGAGACAGTGCAAACAGGTAGCAACAGCCAGAACTGTAGACAGTTTTGCATTCCTTCCGCCAGAGGAGGGAGGGAAGCCAAGAATATAGTTGGAGTTTGACCAAGCAGTTGACATTTGGATAGAGACTAAATGAAGCACAGGTGACTCCAGGTTGCCCTGACAATGGGAACCCTCCCCCTTACAATTCATTATAATGAGAAAAGCCACATGCAAATGAAGTTAATAGTAATCAATGGCAGAGCAACACAAGGTCATAGGGAGGCATCTAGGAAGAGTCTCTGGTACAGAAAAGGGATGCAAACATGAGGGAAGCATTTACATTGGTAAACAAGGTTAAACTGAGCCCACATGCCTGAGAGCTTCTTCCTACTGGGTAAACCTGAAGATTCTCCTACTGGTTTGGATGTTAACTAACAAGAATAAATCTTACATGTTTGTTGCACCACTAAATAGAAGGTGCATCGGGCTGGGAAACAGGGGATCCCCCTCTCTTAGTGCTCTGCATGAACAAATCCAGCAGCTGGGTGAACTGGGCCTTCCCAGAATGAGGAGTGGTAGAAAGGAAAATCAATAGTTATATTTATATTTGCATCTTATTGGTGGTGGTTGTGGTAATGCTTAGTGAGTCATTTTTCTATATGCAGAAACACACACACATATATGTATACATGTATTTATAATACTAAGTTGACTAGTCATTCATAGTTAACTTCATGGTATGCAACCAGTGTATATAAGAGTGTGTGTGTGTGTGTGTGTGTGTGTGTGTGTGTGAAGGAACAGTCCAAACAGGTAGCAGACAGTCCAAACAGGTAGACAGTCTTTGGGCGACAGTACCCCTAGCCCTAAATCCAGCCATCAGAATATCAGGAGGCCTTCAGTAAACTCAAGTTCAATGAATCACAGGCTGGAAGTCACAGTATGTGAGTCTGTGGGCCCTGGACACCCATGCAATACAAGGTTTCAGAGCATCTGCAACTTGATCTCCTCTCCTCCCTCCTTCACTCCTTAGTGAGCAAAACTAGAGAGAGGAGCAAGATCTCTGCCTGTGTTTAACTTCTAAACCTATAGTTGACAGGTAACTGGAGAGACATAGAGATTTGAAGAGAGCACTATGATAGCAGGAATCATGGCACTTTTTCCTCCCCATTTCCCTAGTGCCTAGAACAGTGCTTGGCATGTAATAGATGCTCAGTTAATAAACAGTGAAAGAATGAAGGAATGAACAAAGAAACTAATGAAGAAAAAATAATGAGTGGTTCTTCAGCTGAGATCCTGCTCCTCTCAGTACCATCTGAATCTTGGCTAAAGTGGACCAACAATCACGCCTGTATCCTCAAATGCAACACTTCTCCTTTCAGGCTTTCAATGCATTTATCACATCACTTAGGTGAGTCTGCACATATAATGGAAATGCATCACTCTCAAAGCCCTACAAGTGACACCAGCCACTACAGGGCCAGTGCTGCAATTCCTACAGGCGCCTGGCTAATTTGAATGGCACGGCCTCAAGACAACCTTTACATCTCAAATGAGGAGTGACTGCACTCATCAACCTTGCCTCCCTCCGCTCCTTCCTGCTGCCTCCCACAGCTGGTGAGAACTGCAGAGTGTCCTCCAGGGTTTTCTGGGTCACACTTCATCCCTGGGCTTGCTGGGTGTAAGTTGGTCCTTGGGACTTCTTCACTGCCCTTAAGAGCTTTAGCATAATAGCCTGTGACTCTTTTCTGCAAAGTTTCAGTCCTGCCTTGCTCATCCTATATGGGAATGGATCCAGGTTAGCAATGGACCTCTACTAAGTACTTTCTTGTACAGGCCTTACACAATCCTTGCTCTTTGGTCATTATAGTCTAGTCGAGTTTCTTCTGAGACAGCATTTCCTTTCCCTCCACTGTAAATTATATCCAAAGCTCTTTCTAAAGGGTGCTTTGTATATGCCACCTTATTTTCCACCTAATAAGTTTTATACAGATAGAATCAGGCTAAAAAGATCTAGAGAAGAACTGAAGGAAACAGAGGGCACCTTAAGGTAAAGGCAGGTTGTGGGAGCGTACATAAGAGGCGTGATCATTCCAAAGTTACTGTCTTGGAATGGGCTGGTTAAATGCAGGTAAGGGTACAGTCCTTCAAAAGCACCTGCCCACATGGCTTTACCCACCTAGGATCCATGTACATCAAACCACATACCTCAACTCACTCTCATTTTTGAGCATAGGGTCTGCACCAAGCCTTTGATAAGTCGTTAAAATTAGATTCTGGAAGATGGAAGAGACTTCATGATCACCCTATCTACCTTCTGTCCCCATGCAGGAATCCCCAACATCCCTGACAGGCAGTTAGATCAACTCAGAACCTTCCAAATATGTCTGATCACATGAATCCCCAGGGCACTTGAAAAATGCACAGCTCACTAGCTTACAAAGTTATACAAAATCAGAATCTCCAGAGAAGGGGCCTGTGAATCTGAATTTTCAACAAGCATCCCTGGTGAATCTCACAATTAAGCATGCTTTTTATGTGCATGTAATGCAGCAGTTCTTGACAGTGGCTACATACGAGAGTCAGATAGGAAGCTTTTTAGAAAAGCCAATGACTTTTCTAAAATCACCTTTACCCCTAAATATTCCCACTTAATTGGTTTGGGATGGAGCCCAGTTGGTATAAGTTTTTTTCTTTTCTTTTTGTTCTTTTCCAGTACATTCTCCCAGATCCTGAGGGGGGTGATAAAATTTTTTAAGCTTCCAGCTAATTCTACTGGGCAGCCAGTATTATACATTATTAGTACCCTTCACTATAGCCCACCATCATGTCCAACCAACATATTCTATAACTATTAAGTTGATCTGACTTAACTCATTTGTTTACCTATCCAACCTAGGATGTAATTTCCTAATCGTATTAAGAAGCTGTGTACTTGTACTTAGCAAGAGGCCAGACAAGAGAGAATTATGAACTGCTAAGGCTTGTCCCAGTTGAGTCTTCACCTCCCGCTCCAATACACCTATATCCACAGCCCTCCCTGTCCCTGGACTAGCCAGGCCAAACAACCCCAGAAGCCTCCATCCAGGGTTCTTCCCTCCTCCTTCCCGGTCCCCACCAGCTCTACTCACATTGTACAGCACGGTGGTCCACCCTTCCATGGTGATGCACTGGAAGACAGTCAGCACAGCAAAAAGGATGTTATCAAACTGGGTGATCCCATCATTGGGGCCGATCCAGTCCTTGCATTCATAACCAGCTGGGCAGCCCTGCACGCCACACGGGTGAGGGGGGTCAAATCCTTCTAGAATACCTGCAGATATGTTTGGAGGGTGGGGGATAAATCACATGGTGTTTCACATGAACTGGAAATGACCTCAGGAGGCCACAGGTAAGCAATTCCATTCCCCATGGAAAGAGGTCTGCCCTTTTTTGTCTCAGGCTCCCTCTCCTCCCTGGCCTCTCTGCACCTCCCAGCTCACATACCATGTGTTCAACCCAATGTTTCCCATTCTCTTGAAAATGGAGCCTCTCCTCCGCATGGTCCCCTACTCTGCAAGCTTCATCGTCTACCCTCACCTGCAGTACCACAGGAATTAGAAGGACTGAATCACATGGCACACTTTGAGGAAAAGGCAAAGTCAAGTATTTTAGCTTCAGACTCCAGGATGAGCCCTGAGTTCTTCCCGGGTTTCTTGGGGACAGTTATAAACTACGGTCATTTTAGGGGGTTTTAGCTCTTTGTCCAGCATGGATTCCTGGCTTTGAATAAAAGATTAAAACAAAAAATAGAAATCCAAGGTGGAAGGTGTTCTTTGAAGGTTCTTTTCATAAAAAGCATGGTACTTATTTGAGATTCTTCAGCCTGCCTCCCATCTCCTTTCCTCCTAGGATACTCAACTCAACTTGAAAAGAACAAATGAAATACAAAGATATGAGAATTCGGGGTTGTGTACCCTAACAATCTCCCAAGCACACTTGCAAACCAAGCTCAGAGCACTCTCAGTTCATCCACACCATGTGTGGGTCAAAACAGAGAGCGAGAAGATGGTGAGAAGGATCATGAAGGGAAAATGTCTCCACAGATCCGGAGGGACCCAACTCTGATTCTGGACTCCTAGATCTCACCAGCCTGTGGGCCAGAGAGGCCACTATAGAAAAAGTACTTATTTATTCGGTCAGAGGCTGCTGTATAAAGAATCAAGGGGTATTGATTCAGATATTCAGAGAGGTGGTACTTTATTTTTTTGTAGAGAGACAGAGAGATGGGGACAGAGAGACACTAGTTTTCCAGGCTGTCCTCAAACTCCTGGGCTTCAACAATCCTCTTGCCTAAGCCTCCAGGGAGTAGCTGGAACTACAGGTGTGTGCTACTATGCCTGGCTCAGACAGATGGCTTTTGAAGTTCACTCTCATGGCCCCTGACTATGGGATAGGGGAGCCGAGACCATCTATTTGAAATCTTCCAACTATGTATTTGCCTTGCAATATTAATGTCAAGTCAGGATCTCTAGTCTCAGTTGGCTGTGCCTCAAAAGGCTGCTGACTAGAAACTTCTGATTCTAATTCCAGGGTCAGAATAGGACACACTTTTCCAACGAGCCTCCAAGTGCCCTGAAATTACCCCAGTTAACAGAGGGGAGAAGGGAAAAGGAGAAGACAGAGAAGAATGACCCTACCTGAATTGTTCATGAAGCATGCTCGATGTAACTTCCCACTGTAGAACTCCAAGCCAATAATAGCAAACATCAGGATGGCAAAGAAGAGCAGAAGGCCAATCTGCAGAAGAGGTACCATGGCCTTCATGATGGACTTCAACACAATCTGCAGGCCTAGAAGGAAGGACAGAGAATGACCAATGCAGCCGTCCCTCAGCACCATCTGATAGGCCAGAATTAGTTTCATTCCCTCATTGGTTTCATCCATGCTGCCTTCTGTCTCTGATAGATTAAATTTATTAGAATGTGAACCTTTCCTAAAGGAAATTAGACCCAGCTCTGCTAGGCTGTAAATCCTTCAAGAGCTGGGACAAAGTTAATCTTCCCATTCACTGTATCTCAGACCCAATTCTCTCAGTCCTTATTGGGGAAGCACAATTAGTACAAGTACTATTCAGAAAATGACATATCCTTTGACCCACACATTGTACTTCTAGGATTCTAGCCAAGAAAACACTCAGAGATTTGAATAAAGATTTAAGTAAAAAGGTGTTTTTTACAGCACATTTATAGTTGGAGAAAAACTGGAAATAGCCTATTTTTATTTTTTATGTCATCCAGCAACATAAAACATTAAAACGGCTAAATAAATCATAACACATATAAGAAGTTTTTTGCTTTGAGACAGAGTGTTGGTCTGTCACCAAGGCTGGAGCACAGTGGCATGATCTTGGCTCACTGCAGCCTCGGCCTCCCAGGCCCAAGTGATCCTACCACCTCAGCTTCCTGAGTAGCTGGGACTATAGGAGTGAGCCGCCATGCTCAGCTAATTTTTATTACTTTTTTGTATTTTTTGTGGAGATGGGGTTTCACCATGTTCCCCAGGCTGGTCTTGAACTCCTCCTGAACTCAAGCTATCCGCCCACCTCAGCCTCCCAAAGTGTTGGGGATACAGGCATGAGCCGCCATGCTCGGCTAATTTTTTATCTGTTTATTTTATTTTATTTTTTGTGGAGATGGGGTTTCACCATGTTGCCCAGGCTGGTCTCGAACTCCTCCTGAACTCAAGCAATCCACCCACCTCAGCCTCCCAAGAGCTGGGATTACAGGTGTGAGCCACTGTACCCAGCCAAGAATTTTTAAGGTTAGGAAAATAAAATACTTATTTCAGGATATAAAACTACAATATACATAATGATTTCAATTACATTAAAATGCACAGGGGAAAATGAAAAATATTGAAATTTTAACAGAAGTGATTTTTGAGTGACAGGATAAAGAGCACTTTTCTCTTTTGTTGTTCTCTTTACTTTCCACATTTTTCTGTAAAGATTTTCTATTATCTTTTATATCTGCGAAAAGTTAAATTTAAAGTAAAATGTTATGCCAGATTGCTTCATCTCCACTATTTATTGCCACTGAGGCTTCCTCCCAGGAGGAATATTGTTTGTTTATCCCAAATTCCCTTAGACCTGGATCCAGCTGAGGACATATCAAGAAAGTTCTTAACAGAGCAGAAAGAATGGCAGATGCTCACTAGGTATCCCTGACACGAGCTTCAAGGGCCGCAGGACACGCACAGCCCGGAGGGTCCTCAGGTCCACGTGAGTGTTGAAGTGGGTTCCCGCAGTGGCCAGGATGCTGCAGACAGAGACACAGAAGGGTCAAGGTTACCAGTCTGGCTTTCCCCTCTTGTTCCATGCAGGAAGCGGGGCTGAGGCAAGCTCAGCCTGGAAAGCACACAGCGCTGACGCCAGCTGTATGTGGGTGCACCTGAGCTTGGGTGAATCACCAGTGGCTCCAAGTGGAATTAAATTTAGCCATCTGGGTTTCACTTTGCAAAGAAGGAAAACTTATCATCATACCAGAACCCTAGTTCCAAATCCCAAGCAAAACACAAGGTCCACAACATCTGTCCCATTCCTGTCCCCAAACCTTGTCCCCTTTCTCCACTCTGCCCTGTTTCAACTTCTTCCCCTCTTTCCAACCCAACAGGTCCTTGTATTTTTTATTTCAAAATTGTCTTAGGTTCCCCTGCCTATCTCCTTCAGGAAATTTCTCCGGATTAACTCCAGTAAAAGAGTAACTCACTCATCTCTACTTTGACACTTAGAATTTTTTTTTTTTTTTTTAATGGAGTCTTGCTCTGTTGCCCAGGCTGGAGTGCACTGGCGCGATCTCGGCTCGCTGCAAGCTCCGCCTCCCAGGTTCGTGCCATTCTCCTGCCTCAGCCTCCCGAGTAGCTGGGACACTTAGAATTTTTACCAAACAAATACATTACACTGGAGAAGAAGTTCAATGGTCTTCACATAGTATCAGTATTTTTATAATTGCACAAAACCACTCTTTGACCCTAATCGGATTTCACCATTTCTATTTTTCCACGTTCCACAGCCATATCCAGAAACACACACACACACAAATCCATAATTCTATTAGATTGTGTGCACCAAGGAGACAACTTATTTCCTATAATCTCATGACATTGCAGGGACTTTGGAGAGACAAGGACATATATGTATTTATGAAAGACACAGCGGAAGAATAAGAGCAGAAGAACTGAGTTTAAGTCTGACTCAATCTGTTGAGAATGGGGTGACTCAACACAAGTCTATCAACCTCGATGAACCCCACTTCTATCATCTCTAAAATGAGGGTGTATTGTGGTCTACTTATAAAAATAAAATGACATGGTATTTAATATTAAGAGTGTTCTATAAACTGTAATGTACACACAGACATGTGGCTAATGCAAAGTTTACTAATATTAATAAAATCTTAATTTAAAACTTGCTCATTTTATTCTTCTTTCTGTGAAGAATGAAAGGGAGCTTCTCCCTCATAATCCCTCCAGAACAATCTCAGCTACCCAGAACCATCAGGAAATGAGGCATTCAGAAAACTGGGTTCCTCTACAGTCAAAGGGTGGCAAGAATGGCTTGCTTTGTTTATTTCTGATGGAACCTCTCTGAAATAGTTCAAGTATTAAAGAAGGTACCTGAAGTGCCTTCAATATTTGACATGTCTTCAATCTCAGAAAAAGAACTGTATGGAAAGTGCATGCCCTATGGCCCTCGGAAGCAGACGTACAATCATAAGGTACAAATCATACAGACCAGGACAACAGAATCGCAAGCAGTAACCAACACAATTAGTGCTGCCAACAGCCAAGCGGACAGCTTCATGTGCTGGCACGCTTCCCCAGACTCCAAGTATCCGGGAGCTGCCTGTAGAGCATCATTAGGAAGTAAAGAGGGATCCTACATGGGGTGAAGGTTAAACAACCAGTAGAGATTCCGGTCAGCTTTAAGATTCTCTGAGTCTACGTTCATACTACCTAAAAATAAGAAGCAGAAAGAAATCCTACTCATAAAGAATCTCAAGAGCTAGACAAGGTTTCTGAATCTTCCCCATCTCTCCTGAGTCACACTTCCATGCCATCATCAGAAACGGGGGTACTTGGGGGAGTGGAGTCTTCCACACTCCTTTTGACTCTATCTTCCAAGGCCAAGGAAAGACATTAAGGAGCGGGTCATATAATCTCTAATAAGTAGGGAAGGACTAAAGACAAAAAAGAACAAGGAGAAACATGGAAAATAGAAGTGAAAACTATGACAGAAATAGAAAAAGAGAAAGAGGAGAGAGATAAAGAGAAAGGATAGGTGGGGAGATAGAGAACCACAAAAAAAAAAAAAAAAAAAAAAAAAAAAAAAAAAAAAAAAAAAAAGATCATTGTTTGCCTGGTTCTTGTAATAAAGGTAAGGTGCACAGCACAGTCTCCTGTGCTGCCCAGGTGGGAGACTCTCCTTTCACAATGATGTCTTTCAAACACAGTATGCAGAATATGAGTTAGAAATTAGACTTCTGTTTCCTAGGATACTCAGATACACATGAGACACTCTTTTCATATCATAAACAGCCCTGTTGGAAATGAAAATTTCCTCTCCAATCCTGAGTTTAACAGTTATGTTTCAGAACATGGTGATAGAGGCAGAAAGATAAAATTAAAAGGCAAAGAAGGCTCAAATGTAGAGGGGGAAAATGGTAGAGGGAAAGAATGAGATGACAGAAGAGTAAGTAGTAAAAGAAAATGTAGGGATATAAACAAGAAAGGAAATAAATAAGAACCGGGGGAAGACGCAAATGTCAGAGAAATGGGAAAGAGAACAAAAGCAAAGAGAGAAGGAAAAAGATGGCATTTGTTGCAGGGGTCTCACACAGCCAGCCATGAGGTATGCACATGTCACCAAGTTGGTCCCTGGCTGAAACTACCTGCTCCCCAAACTGTCCAAACCATACTGCAGCCAGGGCCATGCAGCCTGTGGTCTCGTGCTGTCTTGGCCCTCAAAATTTTCTTTTCTCTCCTCCAGTGCAGGAGGGCTACCAACTAGGTCTTTAGTTGATGCACATTGGCCACTGGCTGCTTCCTAACTCCCACTGTTCCAGTACTCCTTGAGGCAGAACTGACAGCTAGCTCCCCTGTTCACCTGTTAGAAAGCAGGGACAATGGGATTCTTTTTTTTTTTTTTTTTTTTTTTTTTTTTTTTGAGACAGAGTCTTGCTCTGTCATCCAGGCTGGAGTGCAGTGGCGCAATCTTGGCTCACTGCAACCTCCGTTTCCCGAGTTCAAGCGATTCTCTTGCCTCAGCCTCCTAAGTAGCTGGGATTACAAGCACCTGCCACCACACCTGGCTGATTTTTGTATTTTTAGTAGAGACAGAGTTTCACCATGCTGTGCAGGCTGGTCTCGAACTCCTGATCTCTTGATCTGCCCGCCTCGGCCTCCCAAAGTGCTGGAATTACAGGTGTGAGCCACCATGCCCGGCCAACAATGGGATTCTTAGAGCAAAAAGACAATTAAGGAAAAGAGCCCTATTCTGTGCTCCCATAACGCATCCACCTCCATCACTGCCCTAATCACATCCTAGAGAAATTCTGTTTTCTCATCTGTCTCTCCCACTAAATCTGAAACACCTCTAATGGAGGCACCATTTTACTCATCTCTACCCCCAAAACCTAGCAAGTAAGAGGCACTCAGTAAAGGCTTGATGAATTGAATTTGAATTGCACTGATGAAATTAATAAATTTGTAAATTAATAAATTTAATAAATTTGTTGAGACAGAGGTCAAAAGGAGAGAACATCAAGGAAATCCTAGACCTTACTGTGAGAAGAATAGGGTAGCAAGCTGGGATAGTATTCAAACATACATGTGTTTGAGTACATAGGAGAATACTGGGAATCTATCCTCAAGCATTTAAGAGTCAAATGAGGATCTTCTAATATTCTTTTTTTTAAATTTTAAGTTCCAAGGTACATGTGCAGCATGTGCAGTTTTGTTACATAGGTAAATGTGTGCCATGGTGGTTTGCTGCACCTATCAACCCATGATCTAGGTATTAAGCCCAGCATGCATTAGTTATTTCTCCTGATGCTCTCCCTCCCCCTCTCCCCACCCCATACCCCTGAGAGGCCCCAGTGTGTGTTTTCCCCTCCCTGTGTCCACGTGTTCTCATCATTCAGCTCCCACTTATGAGTGAGAAAGTACAGTGTTTGGTTTTCTGTTCTTGTGTTAGTTTGCTGAGGATAATGGCTTCCAGTTCCATCCATATCCCTGCAGAGGACATGATCTCATTCCTTTTTTTGGTTGCATGGTATTCCATGGTGTATATGTACCACATCTTCTTTATCCAGTCTATCCATTGATGGGCATTTGGGTTGATTCCACATCTTTGCTTTTGCGAATAGGGCTGCAATGAACATACGTGTGCATGTATCTTGATAATAGAATGATATATATTCCTTTGGGTATATACCCAATAATGGGATTGCTGGGTCAAATAGTATTTCTGGTTCTAGATCTTTGAGGAATCACCACATTGTCTTCCACAATGGTTGAACTAATTTACATTCCCACCAACAGTGTAAAAGCGTTCCTATTTCTCTGCATCTGTTGTTTCTTGACTTTTTAATAATCACCATTCTGACTGGTGTTGAGATGGCAATATTCTTGAAAGACTTACTGAGGACTGGACAGATCCTGTTCTGTGGGATCTTCCCAGTTCTCAGTAAGAGAGCTAGAGAGACAGAGGAAAGAATGGAAACTCAGAAGTTAAATACTTGCCTCCCAGCAAAGCTTAAGTTTTGAGGTACATACAGCTAAGCAAAACTATGGGCCTTGTAAGTACCAGGGCTTAATCAGGAGTCTACTGGAAAAGTAAAGAGTAGAAAACAGCCTTTGACTCTCAGTCTAGTGGAAGTAGACAGACACATAAAAGAAATAATTATAACACACCATGAAGCATTATAACAGAGTTGTTTACAAAGTGCTATGAGAATGGGAAACACCACAGTGACAAATGCAGGGTGCTTGCTGTCTGTTAGCATTTTCAAATGGTATGTCATTAAATCTTCAAAATTTTCCTCATATTGCTATTGTCTCCATCTCATAAAAGAGCAAGCCAAAGCTTAGAAAAAATTAAATTGCTAATAAGTGGCAAGACCAGGAATTAAAGTCAGTTCTTTTCTGATGTCAAAACCAGTCCTTTCCCCACTCTGCCATTATGCTGTGCAATGTTTGCCTGGCGCTGGGCAGATTCACTGTTCCTTAGTCCAGTGTGTTGCTAAAAATACCAAGGTCA